GTGAACCTAGTTGTAAGAAGGTATGCTGCTGCTGTGGCCACAAATCGAAATTGAACGTAGATTGAAGGGGGCCGTTCGTAAGTGCCTATTCCCTGCAACATCGCAACAAGGATTCTGATGCCCTACCGCCTTATTCTTTGCGCGGGCCCCGACTGTATGGAAATTAGGCAATTTGCGAACATTGCATATATATGTGCATACAGTATACTACTACTGTATAAATTATATCAGCCAGCCACTCTTGACAATCTTTTGATCATTCTACCATTGGCGAGAGGGTGCATGGTTCTCAAGGTGTAGGTAAACAAGTAAAAGAAACAGGTCAGAAGGAAGATGTTCATAATGGTACACATTTTTTATGACACCACTACCGTAACAGCTAATAAATCAAGCTCTTTACTCATTCATGTGTTCATTCGTTCATTCACAGTGCCAGCTGCTGTGAGACGTCTTTGCAGTGTCAGTGGTTAGGTCAGGAATACATGCTGTTCTAGAAGCCTGCTTGATTTGCGTGAAGTCTCCCACCAGCTGCCATCTTTGGAATCCGAGAATAATCCAAGAGAAGTGATTCCCGTGAATTTAGTGATATGTACACACGGAGCGCAGAAACATCTTCCATTAAAGTACACCGGAGGTATAGGTCATTGTAGGGTATGCCATACCCCTTCTATGCACTTAATTACCATATTAGTATTTATTAACTAAGGTTGATTTTACGTAATCGAACAAAGTGATTTATTATAGTCATCAAATATTTATTTAAACTCTTCGCAAATTAATGTTCAGACTATCGATCAGACATCTTCTGGGTAAACATCGTACAGTGTTTTTCATTTAAACGCCATATGATATTCGGAACTTCATGTATGCCTTCCAAACATGCTTCATATATATAGTATATTACATATGACACACTCTAAGGGTTAGTATTATATTATACACTATAATATAATTTAACACTAATATTATTGGTTTACTAGCAAATTGTTGCTAGTTTTGGATGACACCGGTTAGTATAACATCGTGGTACCACTTCTCTGAATTTAGACGGGTAATCGCATCATTTCCATCCTTCTAGTAGCCAGGGAGAGGTCTGCTAGTCTAACTACCAAGGAGCATTTGCCCTCTTAAATGGCTCTAGGCAACTATAAGCAACGGGTCGCTATAACTACGCTGTGTGAATCTGGAAAAGTGACATGAGTATGTAATCTTTTTCTTCTTATCCCATTGAGTCGAAGATGGTACCGGGTGCCATATAAGCATTCAACGTGGATGGAATATTTTTTGTGCACTGCTCAGTCTTTTTCGATGCCATGCCACTTTAAAGAGGTCTTGCTGGCGTACTTCTGCCTTCAGGCTTTGTGTTCACTATTCGTTTCAGAAGGCGGCTATTCTCCATTTGTTCGCAGTGACTCCTCCGTATTAAACAGTTTGTTTGCAGTCATTAAGGGAACTTTAGTTTGATTTTCTAATCTCTCTAATATTATTTGGCATTAATCTTAAAATCTTCGTCACCGTTTCCTAGCCACGGAGGAAGACATTTAGAATACAAGCCCTGCGTATCCACAGCTTGTTGCCATTGCAACTATTTTGGTCATTCCACGCCTTGAACAACTTGTTTCTTACTGCATATGCCAACGCACAGCACCTGTTAACCTCGTTCGTCACTCGTCCTTTTACAAACAATGTGCTTCAAAGATAGTACATGTTCTGTTGTCCTTTCAGCAGCTTCGATGTCAAGGGGCAGACAGTCATTGGTCTAGGCTTTACCAATTTTCATCCGCTTCGTCATCTTCAAGTTAATCGAGAGAGACAGAACTAATTAGGAACAGTAATGTTGAGGCTTCAAAGTTGTCCGCAAGCAATACGATGTCATCCGCAAACACACGAGAGTTTACGTTGAAGTTCTTCACTTTTTGCCGTAGCTCCATTCCTTCGTATAGACTGCAGCACCTGGTCAAGAAACATTTCAGACAGCAATGGAGATTTCACTACTCCCTGTGTTACTGCAGACGTTGTACGAAAATATTTGCCAATACTGCCATCAGTTAGTATAGCACTTTACGAAAGATCATGCAGCGACGAATATTTCCAAAAATTTCGATCCCCATTCTGTTTTCTTTTTAATTAACTTTCTGGTCAAAACATCTGCCATTGCTGAATCGATTGCTGTTCGCCACCGTGTATGTTATATAGAAGTTAGTAATGCTGGAGGACGGGAACATGGCTGAAAGTCTTTATGTATGTGTTTCTTAAGGTTGACACAGTAGGTCAAACGGCATAATGATTCGATTTATTAAGTAGTAATGCGTGAAAGTTATTTCTTGCCGGATTGGCATTCAGCTGGTTGTGAACAACGTAGAAGCTCTGGTAGAAGGAAGATACGTGACTGAAAGGTGTTGGTCTTAGATTATGACTTATGAGTGAATGCGAAGAGTTAATGCTTGTCGATTAGACAGCTGTGCCTCTAGTACGTAGTTCAAGAGTTCATGAACGTCTTAAAGAGAAGGTAAGAAGAGCAGTATGCTACTCTGTGCATGAGGTAAGTGGTGAGTGATGAGTGAGGAGGTTTGATATGACGTGCGTCGCTAAACGCCTGTTCTTGCCTGCGCATTCTCTGTGTCTGCCGCTCGGTGCCTGATTACGTAGTAGTTGATGGTGAGCAGCTGCTGCGGCTGTTGGCGAAGAAGTATCGGTAGAGATGTTCATCAGCTCGCGCGGTGTTCTTGTTTCGTTGTGCTATCCGCTGCACGCGGAATGTGGCATGTGTGACGTAGTTCGATCGAGCGAGGATCGCTGAGTAGGACCTTTCACGAGGAGGGTGGCGGCGACAAGCACAACGTTGCTGAGGGGGTCATTGAATGGAGACGACAAGAAAGTAGCTGTTGCTGTCAGTCTGGTGAAAGATCACAAAGAATGCCAGGAACGGGTCTGAATGAGGTGGTAAACGGGCGCGAGGGCAGCCATCGACATTCGACACATGTTGCTGTTCGTTATTCGCTCTCTGATCATTGGTTGCTCCTCGTGGTCACATTATTGTTTGGACGTCATTCAAGAAGCTGTGTTTCTTGAAAGATTGAACAGTAAGCGATGTCGATCGTCGCTTTTACCTATGGTTTCAGTCTTTGCTCATCTTCCTCTACTCCTCGTCATTCTCTTTCACTTCCACCGCCCTGAGAACTGGCTCGACTGGTGCCATCGTCATCTTCGTCGCTGCAGTAGAGCGACTCTCGTATGAGTTCGCCGCAGTTGCTACTCGTTAGCGGAACGGAGTTTCTTGTTCTCGTTCTTCGTCGTCGTCATTCGGTTGTTTGATCTTTTTTCTCATCTGCCTCTACGACAACCAGTTTCTACGGCAATCATGGCTGCTGCCGGTCCATGCAGCGCGGAACACGTGAAGAGACCTCGCCGAGGGCGACCATTCGGCTCTACGGTAAACGGAGTTACTCGCTTAACGGTGCCAACCAC